AGATCTAATGAGAGTCCCAGTTGATACTTAATGGTGAACAAAAGAAAAGTCACTATAAAAGCATTAACAAAGAAAAAAAAATCTTCTCTTTGAAGTAAATTTGAACACAAGAATACTAATAATGGCAATACAGAGAAAAGATAGCAATGGGCCTAGACATACTGAAGGCAACAAGTAATGGATGTTTTACAAATGTTTCTTAAATCATTCGTCATGTAACCATGTGACTATTATACTTCCCAAATGGCTGACATATATGGTTAACTACACAGGCAAGTGTCAAATCAAACATTTTCTGCCCTTTAGGGGATTCTCTGATTTTGAAGCCGAGCAGAAACTAATTACAATTTCTATTCTGTTCCCTACTGTTGCTGATCTCTAGGCTACTCCTAAACGGAATCCTGTATCACCACCATTCCCATAGAACTATGGGTAAAATGTCTGTCAGAGAGAAGGGAGCGGTTTGATTCAATCAGCAATTCAAGACATCATTGTTCACAAATGTTGGGGCAGAAAAGAGATATACTCTGGCAATTTAGGGCACCTCCATATTTTCCTTAAATGCAAAGCAAAGTGCTCTAAAAATCACATTGTTTTTAACTTATTATACAAAGGCGACACAGTTGGACAGAGAGCATCTAGAATCTGGTCACCTTGTTTGTCATTAAAAGCCTTGCCCCCAGGGTGCCTGTGTGGCTCAGTGGGTTAAGCCTCTGCCTTAAACTCAGGTCATGATCTCAGGGTCCTGGGATTGAGACCCCCATTGGGCTCTCTGCTCAGCGGGGAGCCTGCTTCCCCTTCTCTCTCTGCCTGCTGCTCTGCCTACTTGTGATTTCTCTATCTGTCAAATAAATAGGTAAAGTCTTTAAAAAAAAAAAAGCCTTGCCACCACTGACCATACAATTTCAAACAAGTTCATTCCTTCAACAGAACAGTTCCTGAGTGACTATTACATAACAAACATACTAGACGATGGAGATAGAGAGGTATTAAATATATATATATATACATATATAGTATATATTAAATATATTATTTTATAATGTACTAGTATTTAGTATGTTATAATATAGTATATATCAAATATAGTTCGTATGTAGTATATATTAAATATATTAATTACACCACTAAATATATATATTATATACATTATATATATATATATGTATATATATATATATGTATATATTCTTTTTCATGTTTGTCTGGAACTTAGACTGGAGTGAGGTGATTAGGATGGACTGGACAGTTTACTTCCTCTGAGGGCATACGGACAGACCAAATTTCCCAGCCTCCAAATAACTTCATTCTGGGCAGTGAAATTTGAGTAGAAGTAAATAAAGTACACGGTGTTCATACATGGCCATGGAAACCTCCCATTTGATTACTGACTTTCTCTATCTTCTTACTTGCCAGCTGGATGCAAAAGAGGGCTCTGAGATCTTAGAGGTTATGGTGTCAGAAGATGGGAAAGAGCAGAAGGCCACCTGCTGAACACCTTCTTGGAACCATCATGTGAGCAGTCAACCAGCTGCTGTTGTGTTAAGGGACTGAGACTTTAAGTCGTTACAAGAGTCAGTGTCAACTACCACACCAGGAACCACAACTACTCCAAGACATTATGATTCAGAGTATGCACGGTATGGTGTGAGAAGAAAGACGTGCTCGCCTGAGCCGGAGTTAGGTATCAGAGAGGGCTCCTCAGAAGAAGAAACACTTAAGACGAATCCTGAAGGGCGGCATGAGACAGTGAGGAAGAGGAGAGAAGGCTGCAAGGGGAAAGCATATTCAAAGTCATGAAGCCTTGAGGAAACGTGGTACATCAGGAAAGTGTGAGTGACTCCTGACTACTAGAGTGTGCAGTAACGTTGGGAACTGGAGCTACTAAATACGTGTTTGTTGAAACGACTAAGAGCAGAGCCCAGGAGACACAGTAATTACCAGAAACAATGGATACGGGAAGAGGGAAAAAGTACTCAAGAACCTTCTAACTTAGGAGGCAGAATAGATGATACTCTCTTCCCTGAGGTAGGAAATGCAGGATAAAGAGGTAAAAAGATGAGTTCTGTTTTGAAGAAAAGTGCAGTGTAGATAGCTGTGGAACATCTGAAAGATGTATCAGGAGGTACTGGGATATAAGGGCCTAGGGCTCAGGCAGCAGTATGGGAAAGAGAGGTGGGTTTGGAAGGTGTCACAGTGGAGATGGTGGCTGAAGTCACAAGCATGAAGGACTGCTTGAGTAGAATGTTCAGGTGAGAAGCCAGATGAACGGAAAACAAAGAGGGAAAGTGGGAGAATGGGAAGGGGTGAGAGCAAGAAAGAGAATATAAGAAAGAAGTGACAGAAGCCAAAGAGAAGAGGTATTTAGGAAGCAGTTAGCAGTGACAAATGCTTCAGAGAGGGCAAGTAAGATGATGGCCTGGAAAAGGTCCATTATATTTGACAAGTTGGGCTGCTATTTGTGACCTTAACAGGTTCCATTTCAATACTGGCAAAGCCAGATTAAAATGGTCTGTAGAGTATTCCATGGAGCATTAGGTGTGGTGCATAAACAATGAATTTTGGAACACTGAAAAAAAAATTAAATTAAATTAAAAAAAATTTTTTTTAAATGGTCTGTCGGGGCGCCTGGGTGGCTCAGTGGGTTCAAGCCTCTGCCTTCAGCTCAGGTCATGATCCCAGGGTCCTGGGATTGAGCCCCGCATCGGGCTTTCTGCTCAGCAGGGAGCCTGCTTCCTACCTTCTCTCTCTCTGCCTGCCTCTCTGCCTACTTGTGATCTGTCAAATGGATAAATAAAATATTTAAAAATAAATAAATAAAAATAAAATAAAAATGGTCTGTAGAGTGAATGACGGATGAAGAAATGGAGACAGGAACATAAAATACTCTTTAAGGAAAATTAGCTCTGTGGAACAATTAGCTAGAAGTGGACAAAGAGGCAGAGTTCGTTTCATTTTGGTTTTATTTTTCAGGATGTAGGATTTAAACATGGTATTATGCTGAATTGTCTGAACTTTAATTTCTCTATCTGTAAAATGGGAATAATAAGGCCCCTTTTGCTTGTTCACTAAGTCATCAGAACAAGGAAGATGACATATGTGAAAGATTCTAAAGTACTGTGTAAAGGGCAATGTTATTATGTATTTATAAATGTCAAAAATACGAAGTTATAAGAGTCAAGAGTCCAGTGAAATATGGTTAGCTATAAAATCAAGGAAAATCTATAATCAGTCTAGATCTGGAAATATGAAGAAAAAGAAAGATGTCTTTTTAATATACAACTATAAGTTGTTGACCCCAAATGTTAGAGGCTAACAATAGATGTCTACATCCTATGCTGGGCAAAATTTTTCTGGGGCTCTTAGATTATAGCCTTGGTTCCCAGACATCTTCATTATAACAGAAAAAAAAATGTCAATTAACCCTGGCAGTACACTAAGTCATCTGGGAGTTTATTAGTCTTATGAGTAGTAGTCCTTAAATAAATATTTTTGGCAATTACCCAATTTCACAAAGCAACAGACTAACTCCATAATTTAGATCTCATGACCAGTGAAATCATAGTGAATGGCCACAGCTTGCTGAGGAGTATGTTACTCTAAGCGGCGATTGAGGTATTCTGGGAAGGAAACTAGTCAGTTTAGGACTTCCCTCCCGGGAAGATTAACCATTCAAAAGAATATGGTCCAATGATTATTTCATTAGTCCCCAAACCTTTAGTCTCTACATAGAACGTTATTTTAGCACTATGACATCAGTGGAACTAGTTCCTCTCTTATAAAACTTTTTAAAATGGTTTTAACATGTCCCACCTTCCTCCCTGGAAGATATCTTATCCCCATAAAAGAAAAATGTCCCTTTCCTTTTTTCTTTGTGCTTTTGGACAACTCCCTTCCGACTTGGTTTCCTATTTGCTGATGTCTCCTCAGTTATATTATTTTCAAGGGTTCAGAGTGCTAATTAAGGTCAAGCAGCTGTGTCTCCAGCTCCAAACAAAAATTGTGTAGAATAAATATACTCTCCTTTATAATAGATACTAATCTGATCTTGAAACCCAAATAAACTCCATTTGCAATTGTTTCTGCATGCCTTGTTTTCTTTTTCTATCTTTGGGAGAACAGACTATGACCAGAAGGGGGTACTTCTTTTATCCATGTTTATACCCATCAAGTACTTCACCCTTAATGTGTGACACTACCATATGTAGCTATTAAACTAGGCCAAATGTCTATAGGTCAAGTCCTAGAACTTTTACCTACTGCAATGCTAAATTTTATCCTAAGACTGAGAGTCAATAAAGCACTTTGCAGTTACCTCAACCACAACTACAAAGAAAAAGAAAAAACTTATGTTGCTGTTGAATACCACAAAACATTATATAGACCTTTGCAGAAAACCAAGTATCTTTCATAAGTTCCTCTCATTTATTCCCAAAGAGACATTGTAAATTTAAATTCTTCATCATCGCTGATTCACAGAATCAGAATGGCGAGACCCAAGGAGTTTAAGAACATTCCCAAGGCCACATGATTGTTTAGGAGCAGAACCAGGTCTATATCCAAGATCCTCTGCTTCCTCCTCTCTTTCCACTAGACCACAGACAACTCCCATCATGTTACCCACTTTATTTTTATTTCACTTCTCTAGCAACAATGGGAAAAGGCCTGGCTTCCTCTGAAGTCATGAGGAGTCTTTGATGAAACACAGACGTGAATTCAGTTCTCCCTCCAATGAAAATACATAACATATTGGTTACATAAGGAATGTTATGGGGTCATCAAGGATGTGGAAAGCTCTCTAAAAGAATGTACAAATAATGCTTGGAATCCTAAAAAGGCTAAAGAAGATGTTACAAACAAATGACCGAATATGGAATGGGGAAAAGTTCCATAAACAATCAGTATTTTCATTTGAATGGTTTGTTTTTATTTCATAAGGGCTCCTCTTTCATGGACAATCCTGGTTTTTTAAAGAATTTCAACTGAACACCATGACCAACCTGTAGATGGAGAAGGAAGCCACTGAGCGAATCAGGGACGCCAAAGCTCCCACTTTAGCAGCTTCCACTGCCCCCTGGACCCGGTACTGCACTGTCTTCGAGTAGTTGACGTAAGGTTGATTATAAACAACAATCTTGCCTCTTGCTTCTGGGGCCCTTCTCTGCAGTTCCTCGAAAGAGGTCACCACCAGAACTTCTGCCGTAATGCCTAGAAATAAAAGTCATACAGCCTTAATTTATGGTTTCCGACTGGCCAGGTTGAATTGGCACAGAAAAGTCACACATGCTTTGTCTGCTACATCTGACAAACTGCTTTGAGGAGATCAAAGTTTTAGAGTGATTTGCCATGGGAGAGAGACTGCAGAGGTTAGTCAGTTTCCCAAGGGAGAGAAAAGGCATTCAAAATAATAGGACATATGACTCAGAAGGTTTTTCAACTCACTTGACCAGCTGGTACTAAATCACAAATTGCTTGAGAAGATAGTTTTTTACCCCTTCTTTCCCACCCTAAGAAGTCATGAGTTTCACAGAATGACACTAATTACTTATAAAGAAAATGCACTTTACAAAGCTCCCACTGGGATTAATGAAACACATACTTATCTTTTTATAAAGTTATTTTGATATGTTGTTAAACAGTCTTCACGGACAGCATACAAAAAATGGCAGTACATGACAAATGTTCTTAGGAGCCAAGAATCTTCAAAAATCCAGCTTTTGACAAATAGTTAATGTAACCTCTACCAGGAACTACAAAAAGTCAACTTGCTTGCTTTCCTCCTTTATCCCATATTCTTAAAGATTATGAAAACTTATGCTTCTCAACTTACAGTACTTGTTCATCACCAAACACAACGTTATTCTCCAGATAAAACTTCTGAAGATGTTATGTAATTGTCCCATAATGCTGTTGTCTCACTTGGAAGAGATGCGCCATCTTTCCTCCTACAAGACTCGCCCAGATCTTCCCGATTAGGGAGCAGCATTTCAGAGCCTCCAAGAAGTCATTTAAAACTGCCAGACTAGTAAAGATGTAACTTGATGGAGCAGTTTGAGTGACAAGGAGAAGATAGTCAGTGTCAAAGGCCAAGTGCAGTGACTAAATAAAACTATGAAAAGTACCTGCTGCCTACTCTTTTGTGGCTTTAGTCATGCAGTCATGAAATACATCGGTAAAAACAGAAGTATCAACATGTATTTGGCATGGTTCCTTAATCTTGCAAAAGAGAGAACTAGGTTTTCCTGGAAGGTTAGCAGATGGCATTAAAATATTAACTGTTACTTGGAAAATCCTTTTAAAATACACTGCAGGTATGTGAGAATTCTTGCTTTCGATATAGGCCCCATTGTAATGGACCCTTTGGGCTGGCTCCACTCCTACTTCTGAATCCCCTATCTGGACTCAATTTGTACTTTTACTTTAAAGTGAATGACTGCAGATCTCATAAGCATGTCTCCACCAATAGTCAGAACTCAGAATTTAATTTATAATCTAAAAAAAAAAGTAATGCACAATTATAAAAAGGAAGCCACTAGCTTTTCCACATAATAAATAAATATGTATAAACATACAAAAAAGAGTTCAGCTAGACAGATTTTGAGATTCATAACTTTCCAAAACCTACCTTAATACTTGACTAGTGTTACTGTTGGCATAATACAAGAATTTTGTTGATGGTTTTCAGTTGTTCATAATGAGTAACAGATTCAATGGTCCATCCAAGGGCTGTCCCAGCAATGGGGTAATTTGGGCATCTGGATAGGAGCCACTAGAAATGAAGCCAAATTTCTATAAACTTTCATAGGTTGCTGCAGAATTAAAGTCATAGGAGGGTGGTACTTCACTATGGTCTGTGCTTTAAGTTCTTTTAACAAATGACAGTGTGATGGTGTCCTGGACAGCCAAAACCCATCCTAGATACCACCGTTACCAAAGCAAATCACTAGTAGAAGCTGTAGGTCAAAACCTAGGCTGTAAACATAGAAGAAAAGTTCAATTAACTGGTGTCCTGAAAGCTTAGAGTTATCTCTGACTCCTCTTTCCCTCAGTCCCCACATCTAATTAATCCTCAAATACTCATAATTTCAGGCCTTAAACATTGACTGAACCCAGGTCCTCTGTTCCACTCTCTCACACCAGGCCGTCATTACCTCTGGCCTGAGAGCCTGCTATGGCTCTCTCTCTTCCACCCACCCAACACCACTGGTGTAGCAGCCTCCAGCCCAGTTCCCCCAAACTTCACCTCCACAGAGCTGCCTGAACTAATCTGAACTAAAGTCAGATCAGCCTAGGTCACTACCCCTGCCCTGCCCCTCTCCAGCTCTGCTGAAAACCATCACTTCAACACACCATTCAAAGCCTGCCTCTCTCTACAAAGACAATCTCCCTTTTCTTACAAATTCCATCAAAAATACACTTTAAAGTTCCCGTTCTCACCATGCCAGTTCACTCCTCAGCATCTTTGTTCACACTACCGTACATCACGTCTTGTTGATCTCGTTCTCCCAATTCCATCATGTGACTAACACCCATTTATCCTTCAGGATGCTATTTAAGAATCTCTTCTTTAGGAGGCGTCCCCTGGCCTCTGATCTCCTGTCTCATTTCCCTCCTTACCACCCACAGGGAAGCCTGGCTTATGAACCATCCTCCTCTGGGCTTTCAGAGCATCCTGGGCCTACCTGGGCACTGGGCAATTGCAACTCGGCCTATTTATGACTCTCTCCACCACGTAAACTGTGATCTCAGGGACTGGAGCCACGTTCATTTTTGTTAGCATCCCCTGGGCCTAACACAGTGCTTGGCGTATGCATAGGCAGTCAGTCAATAAACACTCCTTGAATAGCATTGCTCCAAGTAGGGTACCACTGATTGGGTCTAAAGCATTTCCATAAAAGTACAATTTTACCTTTAAAGTTTGATAGCACTTCTCTCATAATAACTCAGCAGTCTGATTCTCTTACCACCCAGAGCACAGCTGCATAACAATAACCAAGCGAAAAAGGCCTTGGGGCAGTCAGAATAGGAATATAAATTCTAAGTATGAAAACTCAAGGATTTGAATATAAGAAAACTCCTCTGCTCTCTCTGAGAGACTCTCCACCCTTACTTCACACAAAATTCAAAATCTAGTATTTAAACCTATAAACCATGAGAAACAACAAATCAAAAGGAAGAGATACAGTTGGAAGCTGATAGTACCAGAAAAGACAATGTCAGAGATAGGAACATGTAAAATAACAAATGCTGACAGAACTCTCTGCAGTGCTGGAAATGTTCTCTCTCTGTGTTAATGCAGTAGCCATTAGTCACGTATGGCTCTCGAGCACTTAAAATGTGATTAATGTGACTAAGAAACTGAATTTTTAATGTCACTTATTTTAATTTGAATAGCCATATGTGTGTAGTAGCTACGATGCAGAACTCACAACCACTACAGACTCAGCCATTACGTAGGCAAAGAGCCAAAAACAACTCTGTTGGCCCTGAGGACCTTGCTTCATGACAGTTCAGCAACAGACACGAGAGTCATGGTGATGCCCTCTGGCAGCAGTCACAGACCAAGTGGACTGTGTTCAGTATCCATCTTTCAGGGTATGTAGAAAAAGCATTTAAAGAAGATTTTTGCTCAAACTGAATAAGATAAAATGAGGCCACCTGGAAGGCTTCGCTCATCTATAGTAGTTTGTGTTGGACACATGTTACACAAAGGAAATACTCAAGTTCTCCTACAAATCAACAGGTTCCTCTTCTTTTCTGTGCTCTCATCTTCCTTCTCCCCATTCTCCATTCTCAAAGATAGTACCCCTAAGAACACAAATCCAGTGTCATATTTACACTAAGGCCTACCCTGACCTCCCTATCTATAAGTGCAACCCACTCCCAAATCCCTCTCCCTCTTCCCTTGCTTCACTTTTCCACAGAATTTATCAGCTTCCAGCTATACCTATACAATCATGTAAGCTCCATAAGCAGGTAGAATCTTCTATCTGTGTTACTCATTAATATTATCAAAATGCTTGAAATGGTGCCTGACACACATTATGTGAAATTCACACACACACACACACACACACACACACATAATCATAAATACATGCACACATGCATATACGGAATGAAGCAAAAGAAACCAAAAAAGAAAAAATTAAAGTATAATAATACCCATCCCTGATCACTCTCCAAAAATGTATACTTTTCAAGGAAGTTGTATATTTCTGTACGTCAGGGGAATGGATGATAATAGCAATAATAGCTATACTTGAATATCTATTGTTTATACGAATGGCCAGAGAAATTGCAAAGTAGTTATTAGGAGGATACTGATATGCAGAGAAGTCCATTTATACAACTACTAGGTGTTGAAGCTGAGATTTGAATCCAAGGATCATGGTCCTCCTACTAATTGCACTGCTATCTTCTTTCACAAATGTAAAATAGAAAGTCTCAGTATTTTCATTTTAAGGAGAATAAAGAGGAAGAATAAATAGGTATATAAAAAGTCTTCTTAAGTTATTTTATTTTCTTAGTCTACCCAGTATCCAAGTACTACTGTCACATTAGGTCCCAAACTATTAACAGGGGAGTTGGGAGGGAGACTTCACCTGGGAAAAGAGTCATCAGACTCTTTTAGAGTAATGAAGAAAATGTGGGGCTGAAGCAAAGAATATTCACATTATAAAGCAGCTCTCTTGGATACAGCTGATTGTACCACAAAAACTGTAAAAAGTCCTCAGGTGCCTTTTTATTCTCCACACCTAATTTTTTTAAATTGATCAATTTATTTTTTAAGCAACTTAGCCCGTGCATAATTACCGCTGTGGTCTCCTTGCAGAGACAACAGATGCTGGCTGCTGTGGTGTTGGCTCAGATCATTTTTTCTATGAAGAATTTGATAAAGAGCCTCCACACTTCGTATTTTCTAACTGGATTCCCCCCAAGAAAAGTTAAGAATAGGAAGATAGCGAAGTGAGAGTTTTTATGTCTCCTATTATTAAAAGGAAAGGAAAAGACTACAACAGAAAAAAATATGTCTCTGGGGCTCAATTCAATGTGGTATGTTTTAGAAAATTAATTCTGATTTCAGAAGATTTAGCCTCCAAACAGGAAATACTCCAGCCCCACCCAAAAGGAAGCCTAGCTTCTTAGTCTTATCACATAATCTCATACTGAGTACACTGCACAAGATAACCAGGTCCAGTGGAACG